ATACAGCGTCGCCAAAGAAATGGCAGTTCCCCTCATTGCAGATCTTGGTTTTGTGGTCAATTGGCTTCTCGTCACAGAACACCTCCCGCCAGGGTGAGGATGGAATTGCTCTTGTAATCATCGCGGGCAAGTGCAAGCCGGCTGGTGCGGATAGCAACGGCGGAAAAGGAAAACAAAGGGGAAGAAGGAGGAGGCAGAGGCAGCCCCAAGAGTAAAGATCAGAGAGTGAATGAAAAAAAACGGGGTTCTCAAGCAGGTGAAGTTCTCAGTGTCAGCGATCCATTTGTGTCTCATCGCTTCTTGTCGAAAGCAGGCAGTTGCCAAAGTCCCTCCAGTAGACGCCTGTGTCAAATGCAAGGGTCGGGGATTTCTACTGTCAGAGTGGAGTGATTCGTGTTTTCGGTCAAACTCATCGCCTGTAATGCTTTCAGACGCAGAGACATCGTTTTCATCACAGGAGTACGGGATAGGACCGCCCATTGTGAAATGTTTGGGGTATTTTACTCTGTAGGTTGTGCTCTCAAAATGAGGCGGGAGAGGAGCTATTTATGGATGTTAGTTGCATGAGCGACGCTAAGGAGTGTTCTAAAGCTCGAAGCAGAAAGAAAGAAAAGGGAATGGTCGAGAACGTATTGAAAGATTGGGAGACACATAAGGACTTCTTCGCTTTTACACGTTTTTAGTGTGTGCGCTCCAGAATCTGTTTGTTGCTGCGGTGTTGATGCAGTTTCGCGAGGTAGTTTTTTATGATATGAGAAGAGATTGCGTGGCAGCCTCAGGTGGGATTGAGGCACGACGCACAGACGCCCAACTTCTTCCTCAGTTACCATAGAAAAATTCTATTGCATTTTGTTTGTCTTATTTTTCTTCTTCTTCCCCACTTTTTGCTTTGCTCTTTCATCGTGGTGTTTTTTTTGTTTTTTTCATTCCTAGGTTTTGTTGTTTTGCCGCCTTTCTTTATTTCCTCCTCTGTTGCTTGCTTTCTTTCTTTACTCCACAGGAGTTCTTTTGGAGTTTACTGATGCCGCAATCACACCTCCTCCTCCTTCGCAGCAAAGCTTCCCTACTGCGTGGTAGATACGATTGTTGGCGACAGCCCTTCAGATGCAGTATACCCCTTCCGCTCGTTGCATCGTGTCTCACCTACACCAACTTCTTTTGCCGTAGGGCGGACCTGAGAAAAATAAACTGCAGCCACGTGACCACCACCATAACAAGGGCAGTGATTATACCAAAAACCCATATTCGCGTGTAGGTACTCTCGGAGGTGCGTCGCATGCGTGTGAAGCGGCCTATAAGGTGTTCGATTTCATCTTGTGTAGTCGGAAACAAGTGCAATTAAGTTGTCTAGGGCGTTCTCGATGCGCCGAATGTACTCTGCTGGCCGCAAAATATCCTTCTGCTCGCCGCCAAAGTCACGGAAGGTGAACACCTCCAGGTTGTCAACCTTCTGGCGCTTGAGGATTGGCATATCTGTCACTGGAATGATCCTGGACCTCTGGTCCGTGTTAAACTCCACAAGAATGCCGCGCGCCTCTGACGGCACCTCCCATCCCTTTTTCGTCACTTGCACACACAACATGTACTGGCCTGCTGTGTCTTCACTCACCGGTGCCGTGAAAGCGTGCGTCCCTAACATTAACCCGTTGCTTGACACCTCCTCCCCGTTGGGGTCTGTCACGACTATGCGGGCAGGAACATCGAGTGAATCCCCTGCAACACGTGTGTACTCACCGGAAACGACTCGAGTACTTTCGTCCACCTCCTCTACAAAACAGACGGGGCGCGTGTCCTTCAGCACAAAGCGAGCTGATGCATTCGCCGGGGCCGTAATGTAAAGTAATAACAAGGGCAGAAAAAAAGTGATATAAAGAGACACACGGCACATGTTGCTCCTCCTGATTCGTTTATAGATAAGTAGTTATCTATTTGCAGTGACCCTTTTGACCTCTTCTTGTGAATGCAGTTTTTGTAAATGTTGAAATGTTGCCTCCCAAGACCACTTGCGTACCTAACCACACTCTAAAAGAGACGCCACAAGAAGCAACTACAAATAAAGCAGAACAATCAACAAATAATCCACATCATATCATGATGCAGCTCAAAGTAACAGGGAATAATCCACTTTTTTTCTGCGCAAGTTACAGCTTCCCCCCCCCCCTCTCTCTGCTGGCCACATTTGAAATTTATTCCCCCTCTCTTGCGCACATGTTTGTATTCAATCGTAACTGCACATTGAGCTCATGTGTGTGTGTCTTGGTGGTTTTGCTTCGTAGTCCACACACTTTCTGTAAGGACGAGCGGCATGAGTAGGTGCAAAACAAAAAAAAAAGTAAACGCTGAGCAACAAAAGGGTCCCTGTTGCGGCGAAGCCGGAAACACTTCGCGAGGTGCCACATCGACAGGGACGCGTATCCAAGAGCACCAAATGGAAGTCACAGCACACCTTAAAATGTTGTTTACTTTGTCCAGGAAATCGTGTGTCCCCACCCACCCACCCACCCCTCACACACGCACACACACTTAGACTCACACACAGCAACAGATATAGAGAAAGATATTTTTTTAAAAAAATGGGTAAACTCCCAGAGGAAGATACTCCTTACTCATCACAGGCTGTACAAGTCAACCTAAGTAAGCAGATACCAAGGAAAAGATCCAGCCCCATTTGATATACACGTGTACGCTTACATCCATGTATATGCACACTGGTAGGCAGATAACTAGAGCTATAGTTACTGATTCCTCTTGAGCGTGACATGACCAATGACATCCTCGAGCTCACTGCTATCCTTCATAAGGAAAAGTTTCCCAGTATTCATATGCGCCAAAAGAGTATCTGGGATGACATTGCCATGAGAGACCCACACAGCATTCCATCCCAACGCCAGTGGCTCAAGGAGGTTACTGGCGGTATCGTCAACCATTACCATACATTCGGCCGTTAATTTCTCGTTATACTGCAACCCTTTGCTCACAGCATCCATGACGGCAATGTATGTATTTCTATGAGGTTTGTTACAGATCATCGGTGCCGTATGTGCCCACTGATCCTCGTAGGTGAATCCATGCATAATGAGCTCCTCAGTGCTGAGGCCAATTCGCTGTAATACCGTTTCGGCGTGCCTTCGTGGGGCATTGGTCAAGTAGTAGATGTGATGATTTTGCCTCAGGCGAGACAACACCTCCCGGAGACCGGGGTCTTCAGGCAGTTGGCTAAAGTCACAGCGACTGTACAAAAAGTCAGTGACAGCTTGGGCATCCAAACCCTTATGTTCTTGCATCAAGCCGGCGATGGTCAAACCATACTTCTCATAGCTGTGAACAACGTAGGCCTCGGCCTCCTGCGTTGAGAATTGCAGCAAATTTGCAACGTACTCCACAAGGCCCTCCTGCATCTGATGCAGTATCCCACCCTGCTCCTTGTCGCGGTAGAGCGTATTGTCAATATCCAAGAGAATCACAAGTCGATTCATGTCCCTCCGTGGTTGGCCCGTGTATTATGTGCAACCCTCACCCTCTGCAGAAAGCCAGAAAAGGAGAAAGAACAGAAGAAAGCGTTCAACAAAACGTGCAAAGCAAAAGGAAGAAAAAAAAAACGGAGTAAACAAACGACAAAAATAACTCAGAAGGGCCACCAAAAGCAACAACAATAAAAGGTGTGCACGGTGGAAAGGGCAGGAAAGGAAGGAGGTCATTTAAAAAATGAAGAGGGGGGGATAAATTTTTTTTTAAAAAAACAAGGGAAAAAAACACCTAGGCGAGCAAAGAAAAGCAATGTTTGTCTGGGAGTTGTTCGACGTCACACGACACCCACTTCTTTTCTCTTCTCTTCTCTTCGTCTCACACTCGAGCCTCTTGGGGTTTGGTTGTGGCTGTTGTCTTTCCACAAGTGGCCCATTAACATCTCACGACAAGCGCTCGGGAGTAACTACGAGCGGCAGTCAGAGATCTGGTCGACGTCTGCAACCACATGGTTTACTTTACGCAGAGGTGAATGAGGCATTAAACGAGAAATAAAACTAAACTAAACGATTTAGTGAAAATTACTGCTTCCTTAAGCGGTTTGACCCTTCGCTCCACTCCCTGCCTCTTCCTGCAGCCTTTTTTTTTTGTTCCAGCCACTTTTTTTCCGGCTAAAAATTACTTTGGCTTTGTTTTGCCTTTACTTTAACCGCCTCTTCGCCGGCTGGGCGGCATCGTCATCGCTGCTGTCGTCGAAGCGCTTGTACTCAATCTTGGAGGATGAGAAGGGAACGATGCCGTTGCCGCTATGGCGTGTAAGACCAAAAACACCGCCCTCCGCTTGTTGCTTAGCGCTGCTATTGTGGTGAGCATGGCCCGCGGCGTCAAATGAGGACCGGTTACCGTTATACAGAATAGGTGCGTGTCGACTGCTGCCAAATCCCATCATGTTGCGGTTGCGCTTCATCACCTGATAGCGCGGCTGTTGCTCACCCCATTCACGGAGCCAGTCAGGAACCTGCTGCTGCGCCCGTTCGACAATCGCAATCAGTTCCGTGACTACCGCCTGTGTTATCTGTTGTTCCCTCTTTGTGATGAGTGTAATCGCCTCTCCCTTTGCCCCAGCGCGCCCCGTGCGCCCAATGCGATGCACGTAATCGTCAATCTGCATTGGAAAGTCATAGTTGATGACGGTCTCCAGCTGCTTAATATCGAGTCCACGTGCGGCAACATCGGTTGCCACGACGCAAAGTCTTGGATCCTTCTTAAAGCGCTCCAAAACAAACTCACGCTGTCGCTGCTCCTTGTCGCCGTGGATGGCCATGGCATCATAGCCCCACCGCTTCAGCTGCCACTCAAGATCGTCGGCTGTCCGCTTTGTCTTGCAGAAGACCAACACACGTTGGTTGCGATGATCCGCCATGAGTTTTTTCAGCTCATCCGTCTTGGCGTACTCTTGGGTAAGGATAAAGTGCTGCGTCACATCCTTGTTAGCCAAGAGCTCGGTACTCCCTACGTTGATGCGAATCCAATCCTTTTGAAACTCTGCCGCCAATCGCTGAATTTCCTTCGGCCACGTCGCTGAAAACATCAGCGTCTGACGATCGGGACGCATTTGCCCACACACAGCGCGAACCTGCGGCTCAAACCCCATATCCAACATGCGATCGGCTTCGTCCAGCACAAGATACGTCACACGAAACAGATTCACCCGCTTAATCTGTAAGAAATCAATGAGTCGCCCCGGTGTTGCGACAAGAACGTGCACGCCCTGTCGCAAGATCCCCAGCTGTGGTCCCTTGGGAGACCCGCCGTAGACGCAGCCACACCGCACATCGTGAGGAAGAACCTTTTTTGTTTCCTCCTCAATTTGCTGGGCGAGCTCGCGAGTAGGGGCAAGAACGACCACAATCGGTCCATCACCAACGCGTAAGGGCTCCTGGATCGCAATATGCGCGAGTGCAGGAATCATAAAGGCGAGCGTTTTACCAGAACCTGTTTTTGCCACCCCCACCATATCGCGACCACGCAACAAAATGGGCCATGCCTGTGCTTGCACCGCTGTTGGGGATGCAAATCCTTGCGCAGTAAGTTTTTTTTGCAGATACGCCGGCACCAACGAAGAGAGCTGATCAAAGGTGGTCACCGGCGGCGGGCATCCTTCTCCAAACACAGAGATCGTGTGCGTTTCACGCCACTCCTTGGACTCGTCTTCAGTAAGTTCTTTGACTGGAACAACTGCCGTCTTTGCATTAGAGGCGCGGTGAATGGCTTTTGCATCAATTACCTTCCAGTTGCTTGGCATAAGCTTTACGTTTGCCCAATCGACAGGCTTCATCTTTGCTGCTGGAGCATCGAGGTCAGACCTTCTGCCACCCCGACCCGTAGCACTGTCATTGTTGCTGTAGCTTCCTTGTTGTCGCCGCAGCGTCTGGTAGCCAGTGAAGGGACTGTAGTTGTCTTCCATACTGCACTGCACAGGAATAATATATAACGCGACTTTTCGTCAACAAATAGAGAAAGCAAAAAAGTCACCCCTTGTAATTATTAGAGAAGGCTTCCACTAAAAGTGTATTCTTATATATATATACTTAGCTCCTTAGTACTATCCCTGTGTAGTGTGTGCACTGTGCGTGTATGCCTCACTAAATAATTTGCTCTTCCTGCGCCTTGTCGGTGCTGTTCCCTGTTCACCTCTGTTTCTCAGATCCACTTCTTTCCGTGGCTGCCGTAAGAGGAGAAAAAAAAAAGGAAAAAAGCCTATTAAGAAGACGGGGCAATACAGACATCCCCCTCTCCCATATTTGCTGCCACAAAAGATGACAGCGTGCAGAGTCGTCGATAGGGAGGAGGTAAACAAAAGACAAGTCAAAAAAAAAAAACGTCTAAAAAAAAGGCAACGAAGAAGATGTTCCTTTACTCATCAGTTGCAGCCTTCGCATGAAATGAAGGACGATATAAAAAGAGGAAAAGGAAGAAATTAAGACTAGAAACATCCAACTCGCTCCCCCATCCCCCAGCCCCATTTTCGTATTTCCCTCCCTCCCTCCCTTCTCCATGTGTGTTTATTATTGCCTGCGTTGCTCGGTCACGGCAAAACTGAAACTGTTTTTTTTTTCCCTCCGCAGCCACTTCATTGTAGCGGCAGCAGGGACGTTGTCGTCGCCGTTGATCGCAAAGCGAGGTGGAGGCAAAAGGGCACAGTGGAAAAAACAAAGGAGCAACGCTCAGCCGCATAAGTGAAGAAAGTAAAAGAAGGTGGAGACGGGGAAGCACAACCAGCCGTGAGACGCCGTTGACGCCGCAGCTGCACACAAATGTCTTTTTTTTTTTCACTCTTCAGCTGGTTCATAATTCCGCTCAGACTCTCCAATGTGCGTTGCGGAATTCAGTACAAGAGGCTGGAGCCTTCTTGTATGTTTTTTCCGCAGCAGCTCAAGCGTAGGGATGATACGACGCGCGGCGCCAATCACCGCACCAGGGTACGGGAAATGTAACCCAAGCCTGTCTAAGATGGTCTCCTGCTCTGCGACGACAACCTTTGTTCGTGCGAGCTCTTTCGCCAGCATATCACGTTCCTCGCATATCTGCTGAAGCGAAGTCTGCTCACCCAGCGTGGTAGAGTTACTAGACAAATTCATACTGGCATCAGCAACCGCAGAGACGATAGATGCCTTTAAATGAATACTATGTCTTGCCTCTATGGCAGAAGATTCTCTGTTGAGTGGCATCCCCTGCCCTGTTTTACTCTCACTCTCCCTCAGCAATCGAGACTCCCTTGCACCGTTTGCACTCTGCACGTTGGGTGACGATAAATTAACGCGGGGATTTCCTTTTCTAGACTTTTGTGTGTCCGACCGAGCTAGCCGTCTACTGGATTCTAGTTTCAGGCAATTCAGTTCGGCCTGCAGCCTATCCACAAGTCGATGAAGCTCGACGCACTCCACCTCACGAGCCTCCGCTACTTGCTGCGCCTCTCGCAGGGATGCCTGGAGAGTGGCCAACTCACTTCGCTGCTCATAGTTCTTCTGTATCATAAGTTGCAACTCCCGCATGTGAGTCTCGCTACTTGCAGTTGTGTATAACGGCGACCGCAGCACAGCCCTTCTGTCACCCTCACCCGGTGAGGGCGGCGGCGGCATAAGAGGAGCTCGCTCCCTGAGTTGCAGATCATCAGCTGAAATTTGTAGTCCCGCAGCAGATGCGGGAGAGTACGACTCCTCTTGTTCATTGGTGTCCTTGGTGTAATGTTTCCTGGAGTCAACTGCGTCACGGACCATAAGGCGTGGAGAACTCTCAGGTAAGGATTCACCGCGCACCACAGCGGAGGAAGCCTCCACAGGCAAGGGGCTTGGTGATCCCGCAGCCCGGTCAAACTCGTGCTCTGTGGAGCCTTCGCTTTGAGGTACAGGGAACGCCGGCATCAGTGGCAGCCCACTGTCGGATAAAACCGTCGCGTGTTGCCATTCAGGCGCCCGGGTGAGGATGTTGTCTGCATTGCCGCCAGTAGGCGTGTGTCCGTCTTTTTTGTCATGCGGGCCCACCGTTCTCATCTCTACCTACCCCGGTGACAGAAGCGCAGCTTTTCCGAAGTCGTAAGTCCTAGTAGTTGCGTATGCACGCGCGTACAAGAGAAATAAGCGCGGGCGATGCCACGCACAGAGAGAAAGAGAAAAATACACTGGAAACACCCCAGAAAAAAAACAGCTGAAAAAAACAACAACAACACGAAAGCAAAACTACAGACGGGACAGCAAAAACACAAGACAAAAAGAAGAGAAGCAATCAAAATGTTCAAAAAAGGACAAAGGGAGGAAAAGATATTCTAGCCGACGTACTCTCCCCCATTCTTTCGTCTTTCTGTTTAAATTTGTCAGTGAAAAAATGGTGCCTCACGTGTCTCACAAATAACAAAGGAAAAAAAACACACACGCATGCGGCGCAATCCGGGAATGTACAAATCATCTTTATCTATCGCCATGTAATATTTCATAATGAAGTATGTGTGTGTATGTGTGTGTATATATATATAGTCCGCACTATCTTGCTCACGGCAACGTTGACGGAAGCTTCGATTCATCTATCCATGTCATCAGACCTGCCCAGCGACTTTCGCCACCTTCACCCGCTGTAGGCTCCGGATCATGAAATCGCGCTGGGGGATGTACTCGGACAGCCCAAAGGCGCTGCCGCCAGCGTCGCCACGCCCTCCGAACCTGGCCTCGATGCGCAAATTCATCCAGCACATATTGTGGCACAATATTTGTAAAGGTGCTTCGCTGAATGTCGTCATCCCTCCGCCATCTTGGGTCGCGAGACTTGAGGAGAGAAAGTCTGTGTGCGTCCATGTTTTCGTCATCATCCCACGCACGCCCACAAAGCAAACCGTCTCGCAGATACCACACTTTATCATCACAGTAGGGTCTCGACTCATGGCAACGAGGCAAGGGGCGTGGGTCGGGTCGTGGTCGAATAAACACAAAAGCCTTCTGCCTCGTATCACACGCTTTCTGCTGACGTGTGCGCATTGGAAACCCCCAACCGTCGATATCAAGTGATTTGTCTGCCACCGCCGATGCAGAAGAAACCCTAGAGGTAGGGAAAATTCGAGAAAATGTCCCTTTCTTTTTTCTTGATTCCACACTCATGCAGGAAGTAAAAGGTCCTGAGCTGTACGCACGCTGTAGAGGTCGCGGTGGTGTCAAATGTGGCGGTGTAATAAGACATGTCATATCAAGCGTGTCCTCCGCCACTTTTGCCCCTCTCTCCCTCAGGGCCTGCCTCCTACCAGAAAGCGAAGTCACAAGGGAATTGATACAATAAGAGGAATCCGTCTGCGCCCACCCGTCTCGCCTCCTGCTACTACGAGCAGAGGCATCTCCGGTATCGCAGTCGCGACGCGTTTCAGTTGCTCCTTCGTCCTCAACATCCATTTCAATGTTACCACTTACCAACTCACTGGAGGCAGATGCACCCGTAACATCTTTATTTTGACTGCTTACTTGAGCATGTGGGGTGCCAACACCCACATCCGTTTTGTGAGAGCGGCATGGATGATCAAGGCTCGCAGCTGGTTGAACACACCGTTTTTTATCAGGCCCTCTTCGCATTGCAGCGATATCGGATTCCGCCTTCCTCGCCTTCGCACATGAACTCACAATTGCACCTAGCGCAAGGCTACTGTCACCACATTCCCGGCGTTGCGCTGCATTGCCACCCATCTGAGAACCTGATGATACGCACCGTCCAGATCCAGCCACTGCTTGTGGTCGACTCAAGTCGCTGTATTTCTCGTTCACAGCTTTTTGACGGCTCAGGCGTTCACGACTCTTCTGATGCTCCGCACGTTTTCGTCTACGTGTCATGCTCAAAAGCTTTGTTCCGTACTCTGCAAGAGCAGCCTCGTATGCGGTCAGCGCATTAGGTAATGTTGCCACGTTATGTCTCATCATTTCCTTCTCCACTGGAGACGCAGAGCCTTTGATTGTGGTGGATGTTGCTTTTGTCGTTGGGACCGCTTCCGTGAAGGAGACCCTTTTCTCCCTCGCAGAGTCCACCCGCGCAACAACTGAGACCGAAATGGCATTGCTCCGGGCATCAGTTGCCCTTCCGGTCGAACACGCCGCTGGGGCAATTTGTCCTCGTAAATAGGGGGGTCTCAACATGCACGGTGCAGTTGTCTGCTGTCTATCTAGTGGGACCATAAGGTCGGGAAGACCGACGTCTGTCCACTGCCCGCGTACTCTGCGGGGGTCGGGTGCACAGCGACGCCCCTTATCCGTGCACGTGTATCCCGCATGCGCATTAAGAGGTGTGAATAAAATGTCTGATTGCAGCGGCTCCGGCAGTGATGGAGCCGAGTGTGTGCACAAAGGACTATGAGGACTCGGTGGCATGCTGCAAAACCGTGCCGTCAACGGGTGTATGGGAGGGTGCCTGCGCGCGTGTGTGAGTTGAGAGTGCCCACGTTTTGAAAGAAGCTCTGCGTCACGAGTGTTATGTGGGTGCTGCGTAAATAATTACCTCTTCCCCTGCCCTAAGCGGTGGGTGGGGACGCGACCGCGCTGCCACGCACAGAGAAAAAAAAAAAAGGAAAACGAGTCCATGAATTTCTACACGCTGGAAAGCAAAGTGAGAGCGCCCACACAAAACGCATCTCCGCCAGTCATTGCCAAAAGGCGCAACTCCGCGAGTTTCATGTACTTTTGCTCTTGTTTTTTTTTTTTTTTTTTTCAGAGGGCAAAGGTATGTGTGTGGGCAGGTTGATTTGACACCATATTTGCCACGACTTTGCATAAAAACATGCCCGCGTCGACAAACGTCCCGCTCACCCCAGCGCCGACACGATAATAAAGAAAGAGAGGAAACTGGTGCTGAGAAAAGAACAAACTCCCCCCCCCCCCCCTCCCATGTGCACGCAAACAAACAAATCAAACAAGAAAAAGACCACAAAAACAACAATAAATATAAATATGTGTTGCTGCATGTCACCCGCAAGCTGAAAGCTCAGCACAAAAATCATTGGTTATTCGGCTATGGCAGCAGGGTGGCCGCCTGTGAATCCCACAGCAAGGTTAGAAAGGCACTGCAAACAACGGATGGCTACTTTCCCGTCCTCGCCAACGTATAACAAGAGACGCTCCAGAACTTCCACCACGCCCAGTTCTATAAATATCTGCACTGTCTCAGGGTGATGGGCGGTGATGTTGCAGATCGTCGCGGCCCACGTCTCCACCAACTGCCCCTCCATGTAGACGGGATATATGAGTCGGCTAAGCACCCCACAATCCTCGCGACTGAGTCTTGCATCCTCCATATACGCCAGATTCGAAATGGCCACAAGTGCGACATAAAGAACATGCTTCTCAGCAGGATGCGCCTGGACCGTATTCATAACAAAGTCCAAAACCAAAGGTGCATTTAATTGCAGTCTTGACTCCTTCACCGCGGCAAGATTGCTGCATAGCGAAAGCATGTACACGGCTGCTCTCGCATCGGCAACTGCAAGGGATTTCATAAGTTTCGTCAACTTATCAATCTTTGGCCCCACACATACAAGGTGTGTGCATTCCGATGTTGAATGGGTACTGTCAATAAGTTTCCGCAGGAGATAAAATATTTCCTGCAAATCCCCCTCAGTATATGGATTATTCTTTCCAAAATGAGTTGCCATTTCCCGCAAGGAGGTCACAGGGGTTTTGCTTCACCGAACCCACCTCTAATGCCTGAGTCACCTACCGAAGCAGCAGATATATCCCCATTATTAGCCTCAGATGTATTTCCGCCGTGTGGAAAGGTTCCCTCCTCCGTTGCAGCGGGCACCAGAGATAAGGTGGGGGTGCTGAGCAAGTCCTGTACTCTGAGCGCGACCGCTTTTGGATCTTGCAGCGAGGTGCCCCCGGAATTAGCGGTTATTCGCTCCAGAGCACCTACCACCGCGAGCAGCAACTGTGAAGTGTTCATCTACTTCCTACCCCACAAGACTGTCTGTACTGCCTCCGCAATGAGAAAAGCAATTGTGGGTGAACCCAAACAGGGGAAGAGAGGTATAGAGAAAAAGAATAAGAGAAATGTATCCACCGTGGCTAGAGGCAGAAGAGCAGCAGTAACGACAAAGACACATATACACGCATACACACAGCAAATAATAATAATACGTAGACATATAAACACCAAATAGCGCGAGTAGTCGAGAAAAGAAGAAAAATCCAACGAAACTCAGTTTTCATTGCAAAAGGAAGCGTTCCTTTTTTTTTTTTTTGTATGGTGCTGATGGGGTTACCACACACACACACATAACCGTAAGCAATGGAAATGTGCTTGCCCGTCACCCCACGCACCAGCGGCCCACGTGTGTCAACGTTGTAAAATCATAAGTTCCCACGAAATAACAGGAAACGCACACGAAGGCAATAGCGCCCATACACACACACACCTGTGCTCAATACACCAAAAAGAAAAAGGAACAAACAGAAGGTTATAGGTTTGTTAGTTTATGTCCCATCTTTTTTCCATTAGGCGAAAAGGATGAGAGAGACGAACAAAGAGAAGCGAAGCAGAGACATGCACGTATGCACAACGAGAGAGAGAGATAAAGGGAGAATGGGAGTGTGGCCACGCAAGAAAAAAAAAAAAGAGTGGATTGAAAATGTTATTTATTTATTTACAGCATCAACAGAAGAAGATTATGACGCCCCAAGTTTTTCATCTATTTTTTTTTTTTTATTGTGTCTTTG